TCACTTCCTTGTCCCTCCTCTAAAACCCCAGGGTGTTGATTTGGGTTTTCCTTATCTCTATCACTGAACTCTGAGAGCCAGCAGGGCATAGACTCGCCTCTGTTCACCACTGTTCCCTTAGCGCCTACAACCATGTCTGGCTACAGTGTGCAATGGATGGAAGGATGGATGGATGGGTGGGTGGGTGGGTGGATGGATGGGCGAGTGGATGGATGAGTGGGTGAATGGGTGGATGGGTGGATGGGTGGAAGGATGAGTGGATGGATGGGCGGATGGATGAGTGGATGGATGGGTGAAGGAGCGAGGGAATGGCAGGAAAATTATATAACCAGTTTATTTGGTAGGTGGGAAATATCTTGGCCAAGAAGGTAAAGAGACTCTGATAACATGGAAAATCAGCATCAGAAAAGTAAAGCACCCACCCACCCTGCTCCTGGGTGGCTCAGTTGGTCGAGTGTCTGACTTCAGCTCAGGTCATGATCTTGCGATTTGTGGGTTCAAGCCCCCACCATCAGCTCTGTGCTGACAACTCAGAGCCTGGAGCCTGCTTCAGATTCTGTGTCTCCCTCTCTCTCTGCCCCTCCCCCACTTGCACTCTGTTTCTCTCTCTCTCTCAAAAATAGAGAAACATTAAAAAAAATTTTTTTTGAAAGAAGAAAAGCAAAGCACAGTGTTTGTGTGGGATAATCCCCTTTCTGTTCAACAGTCTGGAAGGTTGGACCCCAAAATACTCAGTGACTTGAGTGGTGGGATGGTGGCGATTTTTATCACCATGCTTTTGCTTTTGACTACTGAGGTCAGGTGCTACCTGTGTAATTAAAAGAAGTGCGGGGACACCTGGGTGGCTTAGTCGGTTAAGCGTCTGACTTCTGCTTAGGGCATGATCTAACGGTTCGTGAGTTTGAGCCCCACGTTAGACTCTCTGCTGTCAGCACAGAGCCCACTTTGGATCCTCTGCCCTCTGCCCTTTGTCCCTCCCCTCTTTGTGCTCTCTCTCTCAAAAATAAATAAACGTTAAAAAACATTTCTTAAAAAAAAAAAAGAGGGGGGTGCCTGGGTGGCTCAGTCGGTTAAGCGTCCGACTTCAACTCAGGTCACGATCTCGTGGTGTGTGAGTTCGAGCCCTACGTCGGGCTCTGGGCTGATGGCTCGGAGCCTGGAGCCTGCTTCCGATTCTGTGTCTCCCTCTCTCTCTGCCCCTCCCCCGTTCATTCTCTGTCTCTCTCCGTCTCAAAAATAGATAAACGTTAAAAATAAATTAAAAAAAAAAAGAGGTATGAAACCAGTGGCCACATAAAGAGGAGACCCTAGCACTCCTCTTCGGTGCATCTTGCACACAGCCCTAAAGGGGGATGTGCCAGGCCAGCCGTTGTGGATGGCACTTGTCCTGTGAGTGTGGCACGTCTCCCTGAGACCTCATCTTATGACAGAATGCTACAGAGCATTCTCCGAGAGACAGTCCGCAACTTATGAAATCCTCCTACCCCGCCCCCTATAAGAAAATGTTTTCCTCATCAGTACAACAAAATGTGATTTCAGTTTTATGTCTTTTTTAGAGTTTTCCCAAGCAAGGGGGAAAAAAGATTTTTATCAGACTACAGTCCCCTATTTTCAGCTCAATGTGGCCCCTGCGATGATAGCTCCCAGGCTCTGTGTCTTAGGATGGAGGTCCTGGAAGGCTGGTGTCTGATCCCCAAATGTCTTGCATGTTGAGGACACCATTAATATTTGCTGCATTGAATCAGACCTCAAGAAGAATCTTTTTCCTTTGTGTGAATATTGTTATTAGATTTTCATATTACCTAATATCCTCTGTGGAGAAGGGCCCATTTCCCGGCATATTAATTTGACACAATTGGACAAGTAACATGATTCTGTCCAGTTCTCAAGTAAATCCCACCACCTGTTCATTGTCTGCTAGAAGCAAAGCGAGGGCAACATGTTCTACCTGCCTTACTGTTTGTCTCCTGGATATCGAATGCTGGAAAAAATGAATTATTGGGATTTTTCTTACCCGGAGTTTTTAGATGGAGGGTTTTGTTTGGCATTAATAAATTATCACTTATCCAGCTCCTGTTACATTAGAATTAGGTTTATTTTCCGTAGGGCCTGCAGGAGTGACCTGCAAACACTTAGGCCCTCTGTCAGCATTTCGGGGCCAGAGGAGGCTTCAGGGAATAAAGCCGCTTTCAGAGCCTCGGCGGCGGCACACGAGACGTGACAGCGGCAGAGGCAGGCCCCTGTCATTCACTGGCCCCGAGGGGAGCCCAACTCCCACTCCCCCCCCGGGGAACAAGCTACCAATTCCAATAAACGTATTTTTAGTTCCAACTCAAACTGAAGAATCAAAGACTTCTGGGTCCTTGGCCCTTCCTTGCTCCTACAGATAAATAATCTGATGAGCAATGCGATTTCTGGTTTCACCATGTGCCCAGCCATCGAACAGGGATGGCCTGAGAGAGTGAGGCCTTGCGAGCTCACCGCTATGCGGGGAGTGCTGGAGCCCAGCAGATGCCAGACCCTAGGCTCGAGGAGGGATGCTGCTTCTCCTGCCCGGTGTATGCAAGGAAGGTCGACACCTTTGATCTCCTGCAGCACAGGGGACAGGAGAAGAGCGGATACTGTCCCAGGGCCCCCACCTGGGAAACTAGGAATGGAGGCGAGGAAGGCAGAGTCGACTCTGAGACACTTGCCGTCAATTTCAGTCCCAGCTGGACTCTCAGAGCACCCTGGAGAGAAACACCTTCCCACAAACCGCCTTTCCTTTGTGAGTGGCCCAAACCTCACCAGGGTATTTTATCCATCTTGTTTCATGACCTTTGGTTCATTCACAGATACCCAAGTGCTTCTTTGCCCAACACTTGTGTCTTCCGCCTCTTTCTTCAGGAACAGAATACCTCACACTCCCTGCAGCGGCCACATCAGCCTCTCAGGTTCTCAGAGGCACTGTCCTCCCTCAAGCCACAGGGCCTCGGCACAAGTGGTTTCCTTAGCCTGGAGCTCTTCCCTTCGGACCTCCACCTCAGCTCAAGCACCCCTTTCTGAAGCAAAGCCCTGCCTCGGTCCACCCCTCATGCCCATCTAAGAGTACTCATGTACTGTGTGTCCTCCCGTGTGGCATTTGTCGTAGCTGCCCTGTGATAACCGATTCATCTTTCCCTCCAATTATTTATTGTTACCTCCTCTGAGCTGGGCCCTTGTGTGTGATTCTTTTTCATTAGTGTCTGTTTCCCCCAAATCATAAGAAGGGCTAGTAATGGTAGCTCCGAAGACTTGCGCATCCCTAGATGAGCTCACGGGGCAGGGCTCCATAAATATTTGCTGAAGGATTAAATCCTTGCAAATGCACCTGGCCGATAGTTGTAATTCCCCACAGATAGCAAGAATTCGTATCACGAAGCAAAATAGCACAGCATCCAGTAATGGGGCTACCCTGACCACTACTGGTCCTGGTGGCGATCTGAATCTAGCATCGTTCTGTGGGAAAGAAAGAGGCATGAGGCTGTACCGCCAGCTGTCTGAGTGGCTCTGCACTTCATGGTGACGGATGGGAATGGTGAAAAGAAGGTGAGAGAAGCCAGGTGCTTATGACTACGTGGATGGTTACGGGAAAGGAAATTACTCTTCAACGTAGTCAGAGGTCTCGCACTGAACCTGCATGGTGGTGTTTGGATTCTGTAACTATTAACAAAAACACTGCCATATTATTGGCATTCCTGCACAGAAACAATTTTACCGTTGTGAGTTAGAAACCCCCACATCCTTTCCCCCACTGACATTATTTTTGAGTACATGAAGCTTCTTAGGGATGTAACCATCATAGAGGAGACTATGTCAGGCGAGAAGATGCGGGAGGCACAGAGACACAAACAGCCCTAGCATCCAGAACAAGGCTTATTTTGTTCAACCTTTATGGGCCGGGCACGGTATGGGGCTGGGAGGACATCCCTCCTCCTTTGGGGAAGGCAGAATGGGTCATGCTCAAGCAGGCCAGCTCAAATCCTCCAGCGGGTGCCACAGCCCCAGATGCAACCTAAACATCCTGCTACATCACCTTGGAGCTGGCTGTGGAGCCATCACCCACTCTGCGTACACACACTCAGGTTGTCAAGGAGACCAGCAGTACTCGGGACAGCATGCACCCAGGGCCGGAAGTCAGACTCTCGGTGGGGGTGGGGAGAAAGAACCCATTCCCCTAGGGAGGCCTCAAAGGTCTAGTAGGTTCATACGTCACAACAGATGAGAAGATGTGAAGCTGTGTGAGAAATTATTACTCTGATTTTAGGCAGTGGTGGAGGCAGGGGGTGGCATTCACCTAGTCCTTCCTTGAAGGACAGTCATGCTACTTGCTTTGCAAAGGGCTAGAAGGTAGACTGTGTGGGGAAGCTGGCAAGAGTGGTTTTCTTTTCAGATCCAGTTTCCATGGTGCCTGACAACACTTGGCAATCCACAGCTGGGGAGTCTTGGACAGCCAGGGGGGCCCAGGGCCTTATCTCACCCGGGCCACCCTCCAAGGCCTCTGGCCTCTCTGGGCCCCCAGAGTGAGAGACCACAGGTGAGCAGCCAGGGCACCTCTCTCTCTCTCTCTTTCTCTCTCTCTTTCTCTCTCATGCCTCCCTGGGGAAAGGAGGTGAGTGACACAGGAGACAAAGGGCAAAAAGCAGAGAGAGAACAACCTAAGAGCCAAGGTCTACAGCTCATGCACACCCCCTCCTTCACCCCTGCCCTTGGGGAAAGTTCTGTGAAGCATGAGCTTCCTGAGTTTCACTGAAGACCTGGCAGGGCTGTCTGCCCAGCAGATCCCTAACTAAGAACACATTCTTTCCACCCCCACACCCCTCAGCCTGGACTGCAAGGACCAGATAACCACGTACGGTCCCCTTCGATTCCTGGTGTGTTTACACCTGCTGTGGTCCCCACATCCTGGAAAGGACCAACCGCACCCAGACAGGTTGGGACGCTTCCAGGCGGGACGAGGAGAGGAGAGACATGCACCTTACCTGTTCCTGGGAGTTCATCACTCGCAACTTCATCTGCTTCAGGTACGTGGAGGTAAGGGGCATGTTGTAATCGATAATCCCGGAGACCAGAGGAGAGGGAGGTTCGTTTTCTGGCAGGAAGAACAAAAGGAAGCCACTTTCAGTCTGGGCCAGGGGCCCCCAGGCAGGCACCACACCCTGTCACCCACACAGAGCCTAAGGAGGAGGAAGGAACACGCCAGAGCTCACAAGCTGGCGGCTCACCTACCACATCTGGCCTGTGGATGCGGACTGCGAGGCCCTGAAAATATTGTTCAGTTAGGTACCATTGTTTAGCAAGCGTTCACATGCTAAAAATCGGGACTATCTGGCTTCCTTGGAAGCTGGAAGGTCTGGTCACACAGGGCCCACGCTCCCACCTGGCCACCTACCAGGGCAGCCTTGCAGCAGCCACTTTAGCCAGCGTGTGAACTCTCCATTTTGCCACAGTCCCTACCGGTTCCTATGCGCATTTTCACTTGATTATGACACTTGCCGGGCCCTCAAAGGCATTTTCGTTTCCAGCTCTGGTCTAAGCCAGCTTCCTGGTGCACACCTGCCACCACCACCTGACCCCATCTCCCACCCCGACAGCGTCCCCCAAAAGGTACCATATGGCTCACAGGTCTGGGCCAGGCCTCCACTACCCCCTCCCAAATTCTGGTTCTTCCTTAATCACACAGAGAGGAGCTCTGTTTCCCCCATTTATTGCTTTCTTGTCCTGAAGATCAAAGTCACGCATGTTCTTTTTGTAAAGCATTTGCAAAATGTGGAAAAATGTAAAGGCCAAAAAAAAAACCAAAAACCAAAAAAACCACCCAAACCCAATAATTGCACTGAGCAGCTTGACATATGCTTCTGTTTATTTTTTCTCTGTGACTTCTCTTCTTTATGCACTTGATATTAAAATGCATACAGAAAATTATAGTTCGCTTAAAAACATTTTTTCCCACTTAACATTGTCACAGTCATTTCCCGCACCATCAAAAATCTTGTTTTGCTTTGCAAACAGTGTTTTTATGGCTGTGTACTATTTTATCATAACTTGCTCAAGTCATTTGCTTATGATTGGCCATTCAGGTTGTTTCCTATTGGAGGCTATTATAAACAGTACTACAGGGAACATCTTTATTCATGAATATTGGTCTGTATTTCTAATTGTTTTCCAAAAAATGGAATTTGGGGGCCAAAGGGTAGGACTGTTCCAGAACTCTTAAAATCTCCAGCTAAGCTGCCTTCTGCAGAGGCTGCTGCAGTGGACAGTGCCCAGCTACTGTGTTCTGCGTCTGAGGCCCCACCGTGGGCGTCATAAGGGACAGACTAAAATGGCACAGTAATAAGTCAAGGAAGATGGGGAGCAGGACTGAAAGGGAGCCCCTTTTCCCATTCCAGCTTTCTCTGCAGATGCCCCCTGCTATGACCAGTCTCAAAACCCTGGAGTCACCTGCTGGGACCTTTCACACAAAGCGGGGCCTCCTTTGGTCATTTAGTCACTTGACCCAGCTTCACCCTCCGCCTGGGGCATAGTCTTGGTTACCTGTTCTCCGGCCTCCTCTTCCTGCCTCCAAGACTCCAGGCCTTTGGCCCAAAGTCCCCCCTGGTGCTCAGTTCTGTTCATGGGCTGGGATTTGAGCAGTGTGAGGAGAAGGAGGAGAAGCAGGAGCGACTTGTGGACTTGCCAAAGCTTGCCCTCCACCACTGCCACCACCACCATCGTGCCGGAGAGACGGGCTCAGGGGCAAGCGGGCGCTGGGGCCTCGGTGGAGGAATGCGGGAGCCAGGGCCCAGGCCAGGAAGGTCCCTTCGACCTTGGAGACGCTATGCTGAGTAAAAGAAGCCAGCCACACAAGGACAAATACGCTAGGATTCCACTTAGCTGGACTATCGAGAGCAGGCCTGGTCACTGAGACAGAGAGTTGAACACAGGTTATTGGAGACCGGGGGTTGAGAATGGGAGTTATTGCTTCATGGGCACGTGGTTTCTGTTTGGGGTGGTGAAAACGTTTTGGAAACACACAGTGGTGAGGGTGGCTGAGTGGTGTGACTATCATTAATGCCACTGAATGTACACTTAAAAATTATTAAAATGACAAGTTTTATGTTATATTTTACAATAAAGAAAAAAGCCCCTGCAAACAAGGGGGTGAAGCTACCCAAAGGGGACAAGGGAGTCCCTGCCTTGACAAGGACAGAAACAGAGAACGGGGTCCACGGAGACTGGGTCTGGGGCCGACGGATGTCATTTTGAGGTGGTATACTTCTGGTGACGGCACAGCTTGAATATCATCAAGGTTTATAAAAATGCACAACTATGGTTTGCTTTTTAAAGCTATGTTGTCGCACTCAGGGTTTTTGTGCTCCTTGAGGAAGGTCTTTGCTCTCTGAGGAAGAAGTGAATGTCACAATAGAATATCTCAGAAAACTGGCTTAAAATGAGCTGCACTTTCTTTCCGTAGACACTTCCTCTTGGTTCCATGGCAGAGGGTTCTGACACCGCTGCACGTTGGCGCCTTCGCACAGACGACTGGCACGGCGAGGGGACTGAAGTCGGTTTCAGCGTCCGTTAGTCCTCTTCTTGCTGCCCCACCCTCAACCCAGACTTGACCTCTTTAAGCCCAGGAGCACACTGGGACCTCCCTCCCCCACAGAGCGTCGGGGTTGGAGGCCGTATGTGAGGCAGACATTTGAGCAACCACATTGAGAGGGTGTCACTCAAAAGAGCCATGGTTCCTGTTTTCTGATCCTGGGTCTCCAGACAGAGAACTCTGCCATTTCCGTTTCATTTCCTCAGAGACATGGTTGTCTGGTGAGAAGCTGTCAGACAACATGGTGCATGAGCAGGGCCACCTTCGTCCTGGAGATCACTGGTCAGAGCCGCAAATGAAGAATTCATGGAGTGTCATGGCAGCTCTCCGTGTTTGGCCATCCGGGGAGGCCAGGCACTGTGTTTTTTTCCCTGATGGTCACCCATGTCCTGCCTAAAATACCACGACTGCTTATGAGAAGGCACCTCTAATAAAGCCGGGTACAGCTTGGCTTAAGAAAGAAAACAGAAAACCAATGGCTAGGATGGTACTCTTGGGAGGAGGGGAAAGGGGTTTTCCTTGGCCTGTTCCGTCCCCGGCAGGTCCACAGATCAGAAACCACTTCCAGTGCCCAGAGGTGAGCCAGGAGGGCTCAAGAAGAGGAGGTAGGATGCCTCGTCTGGGGGGAACCCGGATGCCTTGAGCATGCACGCACAGATCCATCAGAGATCCAAGTGCAGTGGAATGCTCGTGCCTGCGGCTCCAGAAGCGAGAGTGCTGGTGGGGAGGCGGGACCTTGGTGGGCAGTGGGGAGGCATTCCAGGTGAGAAAACATGCCAGGGAGCTGGCTGTGGGACCGCAGTGAGGAGAAAGGCAGGCAGGGTTTCTGCCAGCCAGGAAGTTCCAGAGGTGGTAAGTGGCTCACATCAAGAGGATCAACTTGGTAGGAAAGAGGGGAGGTGCAGAAGCCAGTGGTAGCTCCGGGAACTCCGTGGAGTCACGTGCTCACAGGCCAGACGAATGCCAGGATGGGCATAAGCTAAGGTGGACGCATGAATGGGTTACAAGTGGCTTCCCTGGGCTCTGCTGAGGCAGGTCAGCCCCCGCTGGGGTCAACACATACAGTGGCCGCGCTCAAGCCACTAAGCGATACCGCTGGTGAGTTAGGAGATCGCCACGGTCGCAGAGCCACCATAATCCAGCAGGCTGCTGGTGACAGAAGCAGAGGAATCACTCAAAGAAATGTCTCAACATGCTTTGCCAAGGAAAACTGACACCCGCCCAGGAGCTAGCCCTGGCTTTATGGGCCTCGAGAATAATCGTGATGCAGAGGCTTGACCCAGGCCAAGCCAAGTGCTGGCCTCCACAGCTACGCTCCAATGGCATGCATCAATCGAGGCAAGCTTCAGCGCAGGTAGTGGCCCTCACTCCTCCACGTAGAGCAAACGCGGGCAATTCTCCTGAGCTTTCACCTACAGAACAGAACTCAGTCCAGAGAGGCCTGTGGCTTCAGCTGCCAGTGGCAAGAGCTCTCCCAGGCAGGGCTGGATGTTGAAGGATACGTGCGTGATGAGGGCCCAGAGGAGCCACGAGACCAGCCAGCCTGTGTGGGTGTTCAGATCTGGAAACAGAGACCCAAAGCCTGGGGCTGGCTCAAAAGGTGATGGAAAGCCTCTTTCCCAGGGGAGTGAATCAGTAGGCCAACAGGTATTCGAGGAGCACTGATGTGTGTACCTTCGGCGGGAAAGGTAGGGGGGACTCTGTAGGTACAATCCCTGCACTCGGCGGGGTGGGACTGATGCGGAGTCCATTAGAGGTCAGAGGAGGAAGAGTTCAGAGGCTCTGGAGTAGTTCAAGACAGCTTTATGGAGGGAGGATCTGAACAATGTTCAATCACTTAGCTGACGGCTACTCAGCACCCGTTAGGAGCTCCACAAAGACCCTCCTGCTCCAGGAGGTGGGTACTAGTATTAACAGCCCATTTTACAGATGAGGCACCCTCCCCATGTCACACAGCAAATGAGTATGAGAACTGGGCCAGGCCAAGCCAGCAACCAGGCCAGCATTGGAAAGACTCTGCAGGGGCCTAGGAACCAGCTGCAATGGGGTCACGTGAAGGGAGGAAAGGAAGGAGGGATGTGGGGGGGGGGGTGCACAGAGGGGGTTGGACTGAGACAGAGGAGTCTGGGCCTGGCTGTGAATGAATCACCACCTGAGTGGACAACTCTGTCTCCAAGGCAGGGACCCTTCAATAGGTAACTGGGTTGCCCACTGCTAACTCCTAGTTTGCTGCCTTGCAAATAATATTTTGCCACATCGGATGGGAGAAAACCGGAGCATGCCTCCAGAGGCCCTTTCCCCAGGAGCTAGGGCTGGTCTGAGGGCACACCCGGTTCTCACTCTGTCCCATCTCCGCCTGGACTTGCTGTGGGGTGGTGGAAAAGGAGTGTGGAGCCGGGAGGCCCTGGAATTTCCCATCCCTGGACTTCCTGATCCTCAGCTGCCTCCTTTGTTTGTGCTCCTGGCGTTGGGGGGAGGGCACGGGACTGTCCAGGCCCCCAGGCTCTGTCGGGGACAAACTGCTGAGCAGGGGAGGCTGCTTTGCTTCCTTTCTTTCTTTTTAACACGAGGCCAGGAAGCCAGGAGTTTTCCCAACAGCCCCTTGAGAAGTCTCCATCCTGTTCCCTGTCCCCCTCCTGCCCCACCTTCCTGGGACAGGAACCCAGGCCTGCCTCTGGGGCCTGGGGCAGGAGAGGGAGGGGGGAGGGCTGGCATGGCAGGGGCGCCTACGAAAGAGCAAGCAGTATGGCTTCATCCAGGGAGGCCAGCACTGCGGGAGACCAGCTCTGTGGGCTCTTAGCTGGGGTAGGAGAAGGGACGCCCTGCCAGCTGGCAAGGGTGGCCCAGGCAGCTAATGCCTCTGGCCATTAAGCAGACAGGGGAGCCTTTCCCACTCCAGAGCTCCTCACTGGCAGCTTCCAGAACCAAGCCCTTCCCTTTTGCTTAGCGACCAGGTTGTGGACCCAGGGTGCTCACCTAGGTAGGCTGACTGACCAGAGGTCTCCCTGCAGGGCCACCTGAACATTGGCATTCTTGTGTCTCAACACCATGGTGCACACACCTAATAGGGTGGGAGAAATGGGCTGATGTTCCCCAGGTACCTGCCATACCAGATGCCCTACAGAATAGGCTCCTTTAATTCAGCTCCAAGAGGGAGGCATTGCTCCCATCTTGCTGATGATAAAATAAGTTCTCCTGCCTTCTGGTAGGGCTTGGACAACTAATTTCACCATGACACTTGTCTGTGCCTCGTTTTCTTAGCGGCAAGGTGGGATGGATACCTCGTAGGATCATACAAGCTGTTAGGAGCAGGGAGGTCCCCAGCCTGCCACAGGACATACAACAGGGACCAGGCACCACACCCAGGTCTGCTGGACCCCCAGCCCAGGCTTTTCCGTGGGTCGCACCGTCTCCTGCTCCCTCAGTGTCTCCTCTTCTCCCTGCATGGGAAGCTCCTCTCCCGGGGTCAGAGAAGTGGCATTCTGCCTGAGGACCGGCAAGGATGGGCACCACGCAGCTTTACGCCTCCTGTGCTCCGTCCTGCCTGGAGCACACCCCTGGGAAGGGAGGCTCCAGCACAGAGCACACGGAGCTGGTTTATATTCTAGGCGGTTCCCTTCTGGCGTGAGTACGCGCGCGCGTTCTTTCTCTCTCTCTCTCTCTCTCTCTCTCTTTCTCTCTCTCTCTCTCTCTTTCTCCCCCTCTCCCTCTCCTTCTCCACCTCCCTCCCATCACTCTCCTCCCTCCTCCTCCCTGGGGGTGGGGGCCTGATGGTGGCAGCCTGGAGAAGAAACCGGCTGCCGCTGTGCTCAGCATCGCCCTCTTGGCTGTGCTGGCCATGCCGAAGCCCACAGATGAGGAGAAGCGGAGCTGCAGCCTGGAGACGAGACCTTGCAGCCTTCACTGAGGAGTTGGGGGGCGGGGGGTGAGGGACGTCCTCCACACCCGCAGAGAGCAAGGGACCAGAACAGAGGGAGGCTGCAGACACCCCAGAGCGGCCCACAAATGCAGTCCCTCTTGGCCTGGCCTCTGTTCCCCTAGGCTAGTGCTTCAGTGTGACTCGGCCAGTTGCTATGGAAACAATTAGGCCAGAACAGGAGGGGACAGGCAGCCACCACCAGGGCACGTGCCCCTGGGACTCAGACCCTGACAGGGTGGGGGTGCAGCAGGGAAAGCCCTCCTGGCCTATTTGCAGGGACCAGACACTGCCCTGGCCCAAGGCTGCGGCCACTCAGCCAGGGCCAGGCCCAGTGGGGCGGGGGCCTCTGAGGCATGCGCGTTACCATAATAACTACAACCGCCACGGTTCCCTCCTCTTGTGCGGCAGCCGTGTGCCGGGGTACAGGGATTAACTCTCCAACCTTAGCCCCCTGACGTAGGTCCCATGATTCACTCCACTTAACAGATGAGGAAACTGAGGCTCAGAGAGACGAAGTCACTTGTTTAGGATGCACAGCTGCTGACTGGCAGAGATTCAGACCCACCCAGTGCGCCTTGGGGGCTCTGCTCTTAAACCAGGAACCCAGCGTTTGTGAGGCATTAACCACACTTGTTCCCGTCCCCCATACTTTAGAAGCTACCCAATGTGCCTGGTGAAGCAGCCATGGCCTAGCGACCCCATGGACAGGAAGGCTTCTGGATTTGGTGAGTCAGCAGAGATCACCAAAGTGAGAAAACCCCAAAACACTTGATACCTAGGCTCCAATTTCTTTGTTGTCATCTACTTTGCTTGAACTTTGTTGTTGATTTTTCCTTCCCCAGAAATGGGGGGGTGCCACTTGAGTATCACCCAAAGTGAACAGCCTGCCCTTCAGCCTGAGTCTGTTCCCATCCTCAGGCAAAACGCCCACTGACTTCAGCAACCTTTACAGACCTGATGCCCAGGAGCAGCCTAGAAGCCCTGATAAATCGCCCACCTGAGCACCATTTCTCAGGGCAGAGTTACAGTCACACCGGCCACACGTATCGGCCCACCTTGCTGTGCCAAAGCCACCTGCGAACAAATGAGCCCCAGACTTGCTGGAGGCCTCTGGGCGTGCTCAGGGTGAGGGGCTGAGGAGGACTGAAACGGGAGTCCTTGCTGCATCTCAGGGGGCAGGGCAGAGCTGGAGAGCATGGACACTGGCCCAAGGAACCAACTTTGCCTGGTCACAAGTGCTCTGGGCATTTACATTCGAGGTAATTCCCACAGATTTCCTGGACGTTCGCAGCGAGGGAATAAACACTGAGGGAGGACCGACTACTGGTAGGTGTGGGGCTACAGGGTACAGAGGTACCCGTGGCGAGGGGGGTGCTCCTGTCTTCAGAGAGCTCACAGTCAGGGCGGTGAGACCAGACCCATGAGGACACTGCCCCGAGTGAGGCTTGGGTGGCAAGTATTCAGGTGCTCAGGGACTAGGGCGAGGTGATCATTGCCACCAGGAACCTCAGTGGGAGAAGAGGGTCTTAAAAGGAGGTAGGAATATACCATTGGTTTTTTAAATGAAACCTGACATTTTTTTTAAGCTGAAAAAAAAACCCCAAAAAACCCCAACCAAACCAACAACGAAGTTCTCTGGGCATGGACCCACACTGGCCTCTGGGAATTGTGACAACTGCTGGCCATGCACTTTTCCGTCTGTGCCAGCAAAGGGCAGGCCCTGCTGGTGGGAGGGCCTTTCCCTGCACAACCTCCCCCAAGGCACCAGCATGCCTGCCTTCTCCCCTACCTTTGGGCTCCAGGCCATTGGAATTAAAGTGCATCCTCTTCTGACACTCTGTGCAGCTCATCAGGAATCGAGTCACGGCTTCTCGCGGAAGGAAGGCATAGGTCTCTGCAATCTGGGGGAGAGAGGAGGTTTGCTCATCATATGGACCCAGGGGGAGGTCACTTGATCACCAGGTCACCGAGGTCAGTGCTCAGGTGGCAGGTGGTTGGCCCTTGCCAGGAAGGGAAGGGATTCAAGGAGCAGGTGGCAGGTGCCCTCAATTCTTAGCCATGGAAATGAGTGAGGACTCTTATGGAAAACCATTTGTTCTAAAATTTTGAATAAAGGAGCTTAAAAACTGAGAAAGCAAAACATGTAAACATTATCTAACCTATGTTTTAATAAGTAATACTCCTCTCAGAGCATTTTATTGTTGCTACTGAAAAATTAGCTTATAAGCATTGCTCTAGGGGAGGAGGAAAAATTTCCGTTCTTAGAGATGGGTAAACGGAGACCCACTTACAAAGCTACTGGCTCCGGGCCTATGAACAGAGCCCAAGGTTCTATAAGCTCTTCCTGCAATAACTCACAGATCAAGAACATTTTTAGAGAGAGCTGTGAAAGTCTGATGCCAAGGGATCAGGTTTTTCAGACTGGGCTGCCAATGACCCCTATGTTCCAGGTGAGGTCACAAGGCCCAGAGAGGTAAACCAACTTGCCCAAGGTCACACAGCTCTTTAGAGGCAGTGCTGGACCAAAAGCCTGTCCTCCATAGTTGCCTCCAGAGGGCCTCCCCTAGCCAGGGAGGAGAAAGCAGGTGTGGGAAGGAAGTTGGAATAGATGGGAGGGAATACAAGAAACAAGCTGGGCAGGGGAGTGGAGAAGTGGGTGCGGTCCCAGAAGCCCAGGCCATCTCCTCTCGCTCTGGGTTTTGGGAAATGGACTGGCCCTGGTTTGGCCGCCTCTTAGGCCCAGGTTCCCTCGGCTGAGGCCGGTAGCTGCCCAGCCGCTGGTGTTCGCACGTTTCCCAGAGCCGGAGCCCTCCCGCTCCTCTCCACTAAGGGGCAGCATCACCCCAGCATTCCTCCCTCCTCGCCGCAGCCCAGCTGGGAAAGTTGGCGGAGGGCTCTGGTCAGCCCTCAGGGGGTGGGGACTGCTCTCCAGGACCGCACCAGGTCTGCTGCTTGGAGGTGCACGAGCACCCTGTCCCATCTCTGTGGCGATCAGGAGGCGGAGTAGGGTAGGGCAGAGCGGATGGGGCTGGGGGGGG